TCCCCCCCCCCCCCCGGTTGTTACCGTACCTGCGTAGATGATTCCCTTTTTGGTAACTGGCTACAGCATGTGCTGTGTTGTTGTCATAAATACCGGTTGTGTCAATAGGTTTTACAAAGGGAGACCTCAACAGCAGATTTTGTAGAATCACAACATCTTTTCCTGCAAACAATATGTTTCACACATATAATTCAAATTGAACAGACATGTGAACAGAAAAGATGATCAGTTGGTCTAAATAATTAGATTTCTTTGACAATGCATTTACAAACTATTCTCGTTCCCATCTCCCGCCCATTGCCACTGTACCTAAGTACCACTACCTCCCCACTCCACGCGTGGACTTTATGTTCCCCAAACGGGAAGTGTTCATAGATGGGTAGAGAGTACGCCTTCCACGCCTGCCTTTCACGCAAGTTTATGCGATTAGAGGCCTTTCAAAGAGAAATTACCACCATTTACCAACGTCATGGTAATGGCTGACTGCCGGGAAGAATTTTTATTGCTAACTGTAGCTTATCAGAAATGGGACCCAAGAGGGCAGCGCTTAACACTTCGTTCCCCGCTTGATTGTGCCGATCATACACTTTAGCTTGTAAATTTCTCCATTTCACAGAAAAATTCGCCCGGAAGGCATGATTGTGCCTATTAATTTTAGTGACTACTTTAGAGTTCGAAAATGAGATGGTTCGTACTTGAATCAAACTTCTAACTGACCGCAGTAAGCTTACCTTCCAAAGGCGGATCCTGCCACGATAAAACTCTGAAAAACGGGGCTGGAAAACCACCAACTTGCATAGGCATCGAGGCTACACCGTGGAGAAAAAGCAAAATAAACGCTGTACGGTCAGGCATGGTTGTTGTATTCAATGATGCTGCAATTAGACTTTTCCGTTGCCAAAGTAATGAAATATTGAATAGGACGGAAACTGCGCAATCCTTACATGTACGTGTGTAAATCACCTTACATCAAAATCATTGTTTGTATCCTGGAACAGCTCTGTTACAGACCTGAAACGAGCAAGTTCTGTCACGCAACTGAATCACGCTTCAACGCGCTGTAAAGATAAACGAAACCCTCCTTGCTATCGTAACATGTTTGGCTACTATTTTTTGTTTTTACTTCCTCACGCATTTCTAACTAGTGGAAAGTAGTGTTTAACTACAGAACACAGGGCAAATTTTCTAGGTATATTCGTTGGGGCGGCTCGGTGGCTCGGTAGTCCCGACTAACGAGCTAATAATACATACTAAAATATATATACCTTCTATGTCTGTCTTATACTAACATGTCTTATATCTTTCTCGTTCGCTCCGTAGTGCTTAACTACAGAATCTTCTGTTTAAGACCTTAATATTGCCCTACCGGCGGCCATATTGGTGGACCAAAACGGTACACCAATATGGCGTCTCCATACAAAGCTCTACAAGGGTGCGTGAAACGTTTCGGCAAATAACTCAGAAACCGTGGGCCACAAAGACCTGAGACTTGGACAAATTGTTTATATATTAGTCTTTTGTAACATGTCATTTTCTCGGCTTCTTCCACTGGACAGTTTCCAATTTTTTTTTTTGTTGCGTGACAGTGAAAACGATCTATTCGTTGGGGCGGCTCGGTGGCTCGGTAGTCCCAACTAACGAGCTAATAATACATACTAAAATATATACCTTCTGTCTGTCTTATACTAACATGTCTTATATCTTTCTCGTTCGCTCCGTAGTGCTTAACTACAGAATCTTCTGTTTAAGACCTTAATATTGCCCTGTATTCTGTAGTTGTTCCCAGTTTCATGCAATTGATCAATACTATGAAACAATATCATAAAAAAAACACAACGCAAAACTTGATTCTGCAAAACGAAAACTTGATCTTGATTCTTTGAAACTGAAACAAAACTAGACTATGTGAAACTCAAACTTTATTGAAACTGAAACAAAACTAGATTATGTGAAACTCAAACTTTATTGTTAGAAAAAAATAATAGCGGAGCTTACGCAAGCATCGATGCGAGGAATTTTGGATGTGACGTTAGCCTAGCCCGTACAGAATTTAAGGGAGGGAGGGGGCGACTGTGCAAAGGAGGGGAAAGCACCTTATGTTTGTCTTGGTAAGAAGTGTTGGCCAGTTTAAAGGCAACCTACTCGTGTAAAAATCAGGAAAAAATATTTTTTCACTATTTTTGCCTCCCATTCAACTAACTGTGCTTAGTATAAAAAATTCTAAAACTCAGAGCAAAATTTGAGACAAAAAGCAATATTTTGTCACAATCGCTCAAACTTCATCAGAGTTGTGAATCAAAGTGTCAGGTTGTGTAACAGAAAAGTTACCCTGGTCCCAGAGGTTTTGCTAGGGTACAGAAAAGTTGTTGGAATTTTCTTTACTAAATGTTTTCACCAGAGCAAATGGAAAACAAAACTGGTATCTATCTGTAAGCTTGGAACAGGTTATAAACAAAACCACACAGCAAATAAGTATGTAAATCTTAAGTCACTCTTCTCATGACTTCATCGCTCACTTTTTTCTCACTTCGAGAGCTCTCCTTACACCTTCAGCGCTCTCACTTGGTTGACTTTTGGCAAGTCTAGTTAATTTTCATTTAATTTTCTTCACACAATGCATAAATAATAACAGTATCAGGGTTTAATTTTTCTCTTTATTCTCCTTGCAAAAGGATCAATGAATTAGAATGCGGACAACCTCCATGTGTGACCACTTTTCTAGTCTCCACAGTTGCTCAGGCAAGAGTCACACAATGCTCCCAGCTGGAAGCCTTGCGTGACTCTGGCCTGAGCAGCTGCGAAGGAGACTACCAAAGCGACCACCCACACCAGTTAACCCTGGGAACTGTACAGATGTACAGTATCAGCATTTTAGAACTGGATTGAAAGTTTATTGTACAAAACTCTAGTCTAGAAGCTAGGCTCTTCAAGAGAATGATTTACAATGTTGTTCAAGAAAACGTGTCCTTACAAATTAAATCTAGATTTCCAACGAACAGTGAAAATCAGCTGACTTTATGCTCTACAAGATGTGTTCCAGGATTCCTTGTCTGATCAAATGTTCACAGTGGGACCTCGGCAGGAAATGCTGAAAAAAAAAAGAGGTAACCATGGCATAAGCAGGTTCCTCAAAAATAAACAGGGATCAAAGACGTCATGAACTACTAAGCTACAATGTTCTTACTCCCAGTATTAACTTTGATATAATAATTGTATCAAATTATTATTATGAAGAGCAAAAGAGATAGACACCATTTCCATCAGCTAGAATTTTTTAATTCTTCTTATTCTCTAAATTTATTATTGTACAATTAATAACTATAGATGATTTCAATAAGTTGAAACCTTTAGGTCAATCAATGAATATTATTATGGGCAAAGTATTAAACACTTCTTACCTCTGGTCATAGAAAAATACAAAATAGGGCATGAATTGGAAAAAAAAGGAGAAACTAAAAATGAACTTTTTCAGGTAAGAAAAAATTGATCCAACTTCTGAGAATGGGTAATCTGAAAGAGTTCTTCATATGTAATGTGGTCATACTTTTGTGGAAAAGACAGTCCCTTTGCCACTTTGTTGCTTAGACCTCATCAAGAACGAGAATATGTATAAGCAGGTGAGATATATTGTTCTACCAATCACTTACAGGGATGGTTCATGGCTAAGAACTTCACGGAGTTGTATCAACCCTAAAAGGTCACTTAGCACCAGTTTGGTTCTATTATTATTACTTATTATCATTATCATTATCGTTATTGTTATTATTATTATTATTATTATTATTATTATTATTATTATTATTATTATTATTTGTGGGATGGGACCCTTTACAGTCACCCACCTGACTGTTCTTTTTCAGTAATATGACAGTTCCATCTTCTGTTTCAAATTCCCCATAGTCTTCCAGACATCGTACCTTTTAAATGTTCATAACAAGTATATTATTACGCGAGGTAACGACCTTGGTTCTTAACTTCAACAACTGGCACTTCATTGAACTACTACTGTGACGCGTGAGCCGGGAATCCATTTAATGTCAAACAAGTGTCTAATGACATAACACAGCACTGCAGAATAGCAGCATAAATCGAAGGCAAACATCTTTATACATACTATGTAAACACTTCTAGCGGCTGTCATTCAGCATACATAATTTCACATTGCAGACAGGAGTAAGTTATAATTGAAGTGTAGGGGTAACATCAAAACTTCCTTCTCAAGCTTATTTGACATTGTTTCCAGTTAATTTTTCAGCTTAAATTGATTTTGTTTTCTATAAATCAATATGGAAATGACCAATCAATAATATTAAAGAGTCGTAAATAATTTTTATCCATACACTGAAAGTCAACCATACAAGGGGATAACAAACGATTGCACCCAAAGGATAAATTCACAAAGAAATCAATAATATGAGTATGCTGTGAATTGGTAAGCCAAAATATTATATCTAGATGCTTACACAATTATTTTTTTTAAACATACCTCTATGTAAAGTGATTTAGGGGGCTTCATATCCTGTGAAAATGATTTTAATAAATCCAAGTGTTTGTTAACAATCAGTGATAAAAGTACTAAAGATTTTAACTGTGTTTCAAAGTCACTGTATTAGTGATACATTGAGGCATGGCCTGCATAGCAAGCACCGGTTTTTCTAGGGTGAAAAAGAGAAATAATGAGGACGTATGTGCGCATGAAAATTTATTCAATGAAACCTTTTTTGCAGCAATTTGCATAGTTTTATATTTGACCTGGCAGGAAGCTTCTAGATGCATTTATGGACTGCACAGGAAAAAAAACTCTTTTTTAACACTCCACTGCCTTTAACTAGACAAGCCATGATATATTGTAATATTATTACCTGCGTCAGATCCAGACCAACAGTTCTCATGTACGTTGCAAGGGATTTATTGTATTTTGTAAACCACTGAATCTGTATATCAATACAAAAAGAAACACACGTTAATAATAACACTAGAAAACAACTCTAACAAAACACCCTCTATTTATTCACATGGGTAGAAATGTTGTTTGTTAATTCAAAGAATGGCTGCAAAGAGTTAAGTATGATCTGTCCCAACAGAGTCGATCTTTGACTACCGGTAAGTCCATGAGCATGCAAAGAACCTAAAACTCTACTGGATGTTTCAAAAAATCACACTTCATTGGTGTATAACACACCAACCAAGAATCTTGTACAAAACAGTTAAAACCATATTTTTACTTCTTTTACCTCTTGTTCACATAAATTATACTTGATTTCCTCAGGTAAAACAGTTCCAAACTCCCACCGGAGATTCTTTATCCTTAGCATCCTGTTATAGCTGTCAGAGTTGATTCAAAATAATTAAAACATAATATTATTACCAGAATTTAAGTAACCTGGTAAAAAAAGGGACAAAATGCAATGCCTGAGGTGAACAACAAAACAGGATAAATTTTCTCACTTCAAGACAGACATGATGGAATTATTTTACCACTTTCATTAACACTTTTTAATAGCAAAAGCATAAACAGGTGAGCATAGAAAGGAATATAGCACACTTTGTGTAATGACCTTTAACCCTTTTAGTCCCAATGGCGACCAACATCAATTTTCTCCTAACAATATCCATAGATTGTCAAGTGATTGGGTCATGAGAATCAATAAATTGATCACCAAAGAGAAATACTTTGATCTTTTATCAAATTCTCTCCACTAATTCTTAAAGGAAATGTATGGAGATCAGTTTGGACAATTCACATGTGGATATTGGGGCTTAAAGGGTTAAACTAAGACTAAATATAAACTAAAACATGAACTTCCCATGTTCTCAACTCACATATAGGAGAGTAGGCATCTTTTGTTTCTCTCTAAGCTAGCATGCCTCAAATGAACCCCAGAAAACAAACCAGTTTCTCCTTCAACCGTCAGTGCTCTTAAAAATAAAACAATAATTCAGGTATGGTTGCGTTGGAAAAAAGTACAAACTTTTTTGAGTTGAAACTAGCAATCTGAGCCCATGATGTTGCTACCTAAGGCCAAGTCCCTGTTCATCTTGTACATTTACCATTCAAAAGTGTTTTTAATACTCACTGTGGCCCCCGGAAAATCGGTGACAGGGACAGGGTAGGCATTTGGGTGCTTGCAAAATGCAGGTGACCTTAGTCTTATAGGATAAAGGGTACAAGTCCCAGTGGCCCTTCTCACCCGCACAGTCACGGAGTAACCCCCCACGGACACACACACACACACTTGTATTCACTGGGTGCCTGAGGTTTTCTTTCCTTTTTCCTGATAGTTCAAGGCAAATCCGCGACAGCAAGGCGCGAACCTTGAGAACAATATCTCAAGAATGGATCTCTGGAGCTAGGGCACCCCTCGTACTGCCCACTCCCCCTCGGGTTTTCCTTAAAATTTAGATCACACAAAGCTAGTACAAAGATAGTCACTGAACTTACACTTCCTTCTGGTTTTGTTCAAACAAAATCTTCATCTCCTCTAAAACCTGCCTGACTAGATCTTCCTTCAAATAAGAATATAAAATGGCATGCTTAATATAACCAAGTCAGTAAACTTGATAAGCAATGTGCTGTTCCAGAAAATGGCCATACTCCCTACATGGAGGAATTTTTGGTTTCAGTGGAATTGGAATTGGAATTGGAATTGGAATTTTTTAATTGGAATTTTTGGTTCTAGTGCACAGGAAACTGCAGTTTCGCCTGGTACGTTTCTTTAAACATTTTGTCATTTACGACCCCTCTCCCTCACAGGAGGGGGGGTATGGATATTTTTTGGAGCCACACAATTATTGAGTAATAGTTCAAATTTTAATCCATTAAGATTGTGTATGGTAGCTGATGGGTGAATATGGATATTAAATTACGTTTGAAAATAAATTAAAAGTTGAATTAAGAATAAAATTAAATCGAACCACAACATTTCAAGCTCGCCGCTACAGCACAAATTCCCGCCAAAAATTTCTCATCAAGAGTCAAACAAAATCTTACGTTATAAGGAGGTAAAGTGCCATCCATGGATCTTTTAAGCTCCTTTACAAGATCAAGTGCCTTGTCACCAAACATTTTGTATGAGAAATGCGTTAAATTCAGGAGTTGTACGAAGAACTTTAGAAAGAGAATTGTACGTCCGAGAAGTCCGCCATCTTGTTTCTGTTAGTTCCCAGTTTTTCAGCGGCCAACGTTCGTGACTTCTTACTTGAGGTACATCGTTGAAGAGGGTAGTGGAGTGTGGAACAAGTATTGAAGGGGCGAAGCGTGGATATTGCGGCAAAATGTCTGAGGGCATAAAGCAAAGAACTGGTGCTTCTAAAAGGACGTCAGCTGATCATGTTAATGAGTTAAAAGAATCAAGAGATCGAAGTAAAAGTAAACAGCAAAAAAGGTGTGTTTAAAAAATATTAATTATGGAACAGGTTGTTCATCAGCTGCTCGAATATAGGGCAACGTCCATTGTCGGTCCTGCAGGTAGAACTTTGTCAACTTTAGGCCTAGCTGTTTCATGTAATAATTATGTTTGTTCTACACAGGAACTTTTTGTCATCACTGCTGTTGGGAATTTTTTCATTCATTTGGTGAGTGTCATGATCAATATTATTGTTTACGTAGAGTAGAGTTGTTTATTCAGAACCCCTTGCAGCTAAGAGCTGGATAACAGGATCGTGCGCAAATTACACATAATTAACATTTATCTTATGACAAAAAATCTAAATGTTTCACAGATACAAATTCTGACAATCTTTTTGTCTGGGCCTTGGTTTGACTAGAAGGGACTGGGTGAGAAATCAAAAAAGGGAGCTAGGTTCCAGCATCTTTTCAAAACCATCTGGACAAAGTAAAAAGAGATAGCGAGGGCAAGATAAAAAAAATCAAAACAAACAACAACTACAAAGGGCGAGACCCCCCACCAGTCCATGAGCATTACCCCCTGAGACCCCCTGAGTAGTTTCCTAAGGAACAAAAGGAAAATAGAACCGAAGGAAATCCCTTTCCATTAAATTCCTTGCCTACTAGTTGAATGTACGACAAGCAGAGCACCCTCTTTTCATGTGACTGTTGGCTTTATTGAAATCTGAGCATTGGTCTTTTTTACCCAACCACCAACCCCCCCACCCCCTCCCCCATTAATTAGCAAAAGTTTGCAAACATTACTACAGGTCTCTGCTCAGATTTCAATAACAACAAAGGCCACATGAACAGAGGAGGGTGGTCTGTCTACGTATATACTCCTAAACAACCACCCAACTTCCTATTCCTCCCCTCTGTTTTTTCCATCTCTACTTACTTAAAGCCTGGAGCAGACTAGACTGTGTAGGGGTGGGTAGCTATTGGTGGTATTTTTCCACAAGGTGGTTACCTTTTGGTTGCTCCAAATGCCATAAACATCTGCCGATAAAGTGCACCTTTTTGCAGAAAAAAAATTTTTGTTGGAGTCCTCTTAATACAGGTTTAACTGTACTTATATTTTGCAGGTTGTCGGTGAAGGTTGTGTTTACCACAATCTCAATGCTTTATCTTGTATGTGTGATATTAATGTATTCCTCACCAGCACTTAGAGAGCATATTATATACCTAAATTCATGTAAGTCACTCAGTGTATAACATATATATGTTATAATATTTTCCTTAGAATACACCCAGCCATTGTTAATATTATTGGGTATCCTGTATTGTTTTTAGGACTATCATTAGGAACCCTGTGATAATTATTAGGGTTAATGACTTGGATTATTGGGAATTCTTTGGTTTGTACTTTAAAAGGCTAAAGTCATGATTGTATTATTATGGGAATGCTGATGTCTTGGACAGCAAAGTTGATCTTTCCAGTTCTCTCTTGTTGTGTTTTGACTTTCTGGTGCAATAATTTATTATTGTAGGTAGAACGGAAGGTGTTATACACAGTAACTTAGAGTTACAGATCCTTTAGTGAGAATTACAGTCAAGGCAGGTCAAGAATACCCCCCAAGATTCTATTAATGAATTGATTATTTGAAAAATGATACGTCGGTCATTCCCGTAACTAGTGTCAAATTCAAATCGGCATTCCTGCATGCGTTATGAGCTGTGAATATTTTGCGAGGACTTCTCTGTATTTGGTCACATTGAAAATCTTAAAATGGACAACACTGCTCTGAAGACATTTACATCAAATTCAGGGAAAATGAGCTGGTGGAAATTTTATAACTGCCTCATGTATGAATTCACGCATGCAAGAATGCAGAGATGAATCTGAAATTTACAACTACAACTGTACGAACCGGTTCAACTTTTGAATAATAAATTCATTTATGGAATCTTGTGGGGTACGCTTGACCTGGCTGGACAACCTTATACAAAGTTGCATTGGCAATAAAAAATTATTTTGATTAATCAATTAAAAGGTAACATCTCAGCAGTATTTTTTTTTATCCCTATTCAGTGAGAAATCCATTTGAAAAGTTGTCAGATCCTGTTTCGTTTGGTTTACCTGAGAATACTGTCAATTTTTATATTACTGGCTCTGCTGGTAGACTTGGAGCATGGTAAGTTGTGTCTTTTGTTTCATTGTTTGCTTGAGTTTGTGTGGGAGTTTAATTTATAATGCTCAAGGATTATCTTATGTTCCCAAGCTTTGTCGACAAAAATATGCAAAATCATTAAAATTACTATCACAAAGCCCCATTGAAATCGCCTGTAGCAATTTATCAGTGGCTAATTCTCCTCTAATTTTCCTTCAGGGATATTCCTGCTGAACCTGTTTCTAAGATTCAAGATTCTCAGCCTGAGATGCATTCCCACCTAAAGGATGGGAAAACAATAATTCTTTATCTTCATGGTAATGCATACACAAGGTACATAGGTTGTCAATATTTTTTTCAATGATTAATAAAGTTGAAGCTATTCACTTGATTATTTTATATTTTGTTGTTAATGATTTATATATTGAATAGTTTAATAAATAAATCTTGCATCACATTTCATTCGAACAGTCACTCAATCTCCGTGGCAAAGTGTTGACAGGTCATTTAAAAATGCCCTGTCAGCATTGCTGTTGTGTTTTTAACTTGAGTTTTGTCCCTTTTTTTGTATGTTAAAAAAAAAATTCCATCCAACATTGTAACGTATCTACAGGTTCCGACTAAGAGACACAGAATTATCAAGGCGTGCACTATCATTGTTCTCTGTTGGTTAGTTTGTTATTTGTTGTTTATGATTTTATATTCTGTTTTGTTTTCTCTAGAGCAACAGGTCACAGAATAGGAATTTATAAGGTTTGTATATTCTACCAATAAAATTGTTTAAAAATTTTAACTGTATTTATTTATTGTTATGACACACATGTACATTTACTGTAAAATTATGCTGAAAAACACTGTTTTATGTTTCAGCGTTTGATTGGTTTGGGTTATCATGTTATAACTATTGATTATAGAGGTGAGGCTTCTTTTCCNAAAAAAAATTCCATCCAACATTGTAACGTATCTACAGGTTCCGACTAAGAGACACAGAATTATCAAGGCGTGCACTATCATTGTTCTCTGTTGGTTAGTTTGTTATTTGTTGTTTATGATTTTATATTCTGTTTTGTTTTCTCTAGAGCAACAGGTCACAGAATAGGAATTTATAAGGTTTGTATATTCTACCAATAAAATTGTTTAAAAATTTTAACTGTATTTATTTATTGTTATGACACACATGTACATTTACTGTAAAATTATGCTGAAAAACACTGTTTTATGTTTCAGCGTTTGATTGGTTTGGGTTATCATGTTATAACTATTGATTATAGAGGTGAGGCTTCTTTTCCGGTATTCCCCTAAATAGTACTTTCTAGTAGGTACTTTTCAGTGATTTTTATTTTTTTAACCAGTTGGAGGTCTCTGCCAATCCACAACTGACCTTCCCCTGTATGTTGAAATAATTTCAACAACTATTTAATCTTATTGATTAGTATAGTAATAATTATTATTACTCTACTAATTAATAAGATTAGATAGTTTTTTTTTAATTAAGGTAAAGGTAGGCTCTGTCTGAAGTTACTTAAAAAGACAAACCAACCAACCCGCTTTTGTTCATCAGAGTTTTTTTAAAAAAAGTTAGTAACTGTATAGCCTGGGGAGCATCTAGTTTTTTCGGCTCAAGTTTCTTATTCTACCTGTGGAGAAAAACTGGTGGGTGAAACTAGAAACTTGAACCAAAAAAGCTGGATGCTCTCGCAGGCCAGTAACTGTACCAGTAATTTTATATTTCAACCTCAACATTAGAAAACTTTTGTTTTGGCCAAAGTAAAATCTAGGGAGATGGCCTGCTTATGAAAATAATATTAGAATCAATTTGCCTACATATGGTATTAATTTATCGTTAATAGGATTTGGTGACTCTCAAGGGAAACCCTCTGAAAATGGTAATGAAGTTTTAATCTGTTTTTTAACACTTACATTGCCAATATCTTTAAATCAAGAAACATAATTGACCTGTCCTACTTATTATAAAAATAGTGTGTTCCTAATTTGTGTTATTTTTTCAACTCATTTCAAACTGCAGTATTCTTATGACTTTTACAGCCAACATTTATTGTAAGTGTTTTAGTGAAAACTGAATTTTTTTTTGCATTGAACCAGTAATTCTAGGTCCCCATTTAACAGTACCTTGCAGTGGAATCTGAAATTTTATATGTTTTTATTTGATACATTTTTGGGTTATGAAAATCCTAAACTATGGTTTAAAGGAAACAAATTATTTTATTTAATATATAGAAGGAATCCATTGTGATCATGAGCCTGTTGTTCTTTACCTCTTACAGGACTCATACAAGATGGCATCTCTGCTATGACGTGGATCAGATCACAGAGTCCTGATGCGTCACTGTACATTTGGGACTATCATTGTTCTCTGTTGGTTAGTTTGTTATTTGTTGTTTATGATTTTATATTCTGTTTTGTTTTCTCTAGAGCAACAGGTCACAGAATAGGAATTTATAAGGTTTGTATATTCTACCAATAAAATTGTTGAAAAATTTTAACTGTATTTATTTATTGTTATGACACACATGTACATTTACTGTAAAATTATGCTGAAAAACACTGTTTTATGTTTCAGCGTTTGATTGCTTTGGGTTATCATGTTATAACTATTGATTATAGAGGTGAGGCTTCTTTTCCAGTATTCCCCAAAATAGTACTTTCTGGTAGGTACTTTTCAGTGATTTTCAATTTTTTAACCAGTTGGAGGTCTTGGCCAATCCATTTCTGACCCTCGCCTGTATGTTGAAATTACTACTCTCCTAATTAATAAGATTAAATATTTTTTCTTAGCCATAAGGCATTATGTTTTACGGCTAAGGCAAAGGTAGGCTCTGTCTAAAGTTACTTAAGAAGACAAACCAACCAACCTTTTCTTCATCAGAGTTTTTTTTAAAAAAAGTTAGTAACTGTATAGCCTGAGAGAGCATCCGGTTTTTTCAGCTCAAGTTTCTTATTTCACCTGCCGAGAAAAACGGGCGGGTGAAACTAGAAACTTTAGCCAAAAAACTGGATGCTCTCGCAGGCCAGTAACTGTACCAGTAATTTTATATTTCAATCTCAAGATTAGAAAACTTTTGTTTTGGCCAAAGTGAAATCTAGGGAGATGGCCTTCTTATGAAAATAATATTAGAATCAATTTGCCTACATATGGTATTAATATTATTTATCATTAATAGGATTTGGTGACTCTCAAGGGAAACCCTCTGAAAATGGTAATGAATTTTTAATCTGTTTTTTAACACTTACATTGCCAATATCTTCAAATCACGAAACCTAATTGACCTGTCCTTCTTATTGTAAAAATAGTGTTTTCTTAATTTGTGTTATTTTTTCAATTCATTTCAAACTACAGTATTCTTATGACTTTTACAGCCAACATTTATTGTTAGTGTTTTAGTGAAAACTGAATTTTTTTTTCTATTGAACCAGTAATTCTAGGTCCCCATTTAACGTTACCTTGCAGTGGAATCTGAAATTTTATGTGTTTTTATTTGATACATTTTTGGGTTACAAAAATCCTAAACTATGGTTTAAAGGAAAAAAATTATTTTTATTCAATATATAGAAGGAATCCATTGTGATCATGAGCCTGTTGTTCTTTACCTCTTACAGGACTCATACAAGATGGCATCTCTGCTATGACGTGGATCAGATCACAGAGTCCTGATGCGTCACTGTACATTTGGGGCCACTCCTTAGGCTCAGGGTGAATAAATATAGTTCGAATATATTTTGTGTAGCCTGCGTTGGGATATCGGGTTCTTTATCTAGGTCTCGAGTGACAAGTCCCTCTGCGAAAAGGCTAATTTACAAGGAGTAGATATAAAGTGCTAATAACTGGCACCACTTTGGAGGACAATTGCCTGGCCTGAATTGCCTTTGATACTAATGCAACTGTGCCTACTTTTGAATTTACTACTTTGCATTTCAGGGTAGCTGGTGGAGTTGCAAAGATACTGTGTGATAAAGGTCTGTATAAAAATGCTAACATAAAACCATTCTCTGCCCTTACCAGAGTATGATTGCAGTCTCGTTTTCCTGTCATATCCTTATGGTCCATACAAGTTTAATAACTAGCTCTTATTACAAGCAACATCTTCTAGTTCCAACACCAGCATTGCAAAACACTTCTAGTTTTACAGGTTTTACTGAATAACTGCTAAACGTTTTCNAATATATAGAAGGAATCCATTGTGATCATGAGCCTGTTGTTCTTTACCTCTTACAGGACTCATACAAGATGGCATCTCTGCTATGACGTGGATCAGATCACAGAGTCCTGATGCGTCACTGTACATTTGGGGCCACTCCTTAGGCTCAGGGTGAATAAATATAGTTCGAATATATTTTGTGTAGCCTGCGTTGGGATATCGGGTTCTTTATCTAGGTCTCGAGTGACAAGTCCCTCTGCGAAAAGGCTAATTTACAAGGAGTAGATATAAAGTGCTAATAACTGGCACCACTTTGGAGGACAATTGCCTGGCCTGAATTGCCTTTGATACTAATGCAACTGTGCCTACTTTTGAATTTACTACTTTGCATTTCAGGGTAGCTGGTGGAGTTGCAAAGATACTGTGTGATAAAGGTCTGTATAAAAATGCTAACATAAAACCATTCTCTGCCCTTACCAGAGTATGATTGCAGTCTCGTTTTCCTGTCATATCCTTATGGTCCATACAAGTTTAATAACTAGCTCTTATTACAAGCAACATCTTCTAGTTCCAACACCAGCATTGCAAAACACTTCTAGTTTTACAGGTTTTACTGAATAACTGCTAAACGTTTTCTCTTGGTAAAGGCCTAACAAAAATTTTCCCTAAAACAACGAAGGTCTTTCGCTTCTGTAAAACGCTGAGAAATAAGTCCTACACTCTCTTTTTATAAGAATGTAGGGTTTTTTCCGGCCCATATTGGGGTATCAATTATAGTTAGTGCAGCTTTTTTCGTCTTGTTGACACGTTTTGCCGTTTAGAGAACGGAGTAAGTTGAAAACATATAATGGCATTGTATTTACAGTTTTTGAACACACAAAATTATATCCTTTTTAAAACCTCAGCCTGGGGTTTATTCTTAAAATATTCTTAAAATTTCGCAAATTTCACCCTCGATATTCTGATAAAATATATTCAAGAGTCTGTTTTGATCCAAATTCAATTGAACTGACGATTTTTTGCAGGGGAAACAAGTCGAGCTCTCGCTCTCTCGCTCGCTTTTGTCACCGATCACCTGGTATCCTGAAAATCGTTTTCTTTCGAGTTTCCCAATCCCGGATCATGCCCAAATTTTGGCGAATCCCGCTTTAAATGTTCGCAGTCAAATCCCGTATCCCGTGAACGTTTCCCGAATCCCGCGCTGTATTTTGCTCAAATCCCAGATCCCGGGAATACCCTTCCAGAACCTGAATAAAATGCTTCCGCTGCTGCTGTACCTTCATATGCTGCAGTTTCTGTAATTCTTGCTAACAACTAACTTAAGCTGATACACACTGTATTACTTTCACTTTTCGTGACAGGAGCTCCTCCATCTGGGATCATTCTTGAAGCCCCTTTTAATAATGTATGGGAAGGAGCGGTCAAACACCCCATAACAATAGTAAGTTGGGAAATCTGTTTTGCCTTCTCTTCTACGTACGCCAAAGATACATGTATTTCGGTATCTGACGGCAGACGCGCGCCGGATGTGAAGAAGACTCAAGAAAAAGTCTAAAGAATTTTGTAAACTACTTTCTATGGCGACAATGTTAACCAAGCTCAACTAATCCAAAGGAAACCCAAGGCCAAATATGACTTGACTAATGGTGGATTTTCACTGTAGCGTATTTTTAACGCGCATAGATAAAATAGAGGCAATGTATGAAAGCCGTGCGCAAACGTAAAAGTTGACCGAGGTTCAACTTTCACATTTACGCGTGACCTTCCACTCATCGCCTCTACTTTATTTACGCGCGTAAAATCGGGCGTTAAAATTACGCGACAGTGGAAATGCACCTTAACACTTGCAGATTTTTCAACGCTCCTTGCTGGCCGCCTTGTGTGCCTAGTTTGATTGGCTCTAGGCTTTGCCAATCTCAGTTCAAAATTTCTTGTTTAAGAGCTTTTGATAAGCTTGTTTTCATGCCGTTATCTCTCGTATCAGCTAACGTGAAAGCTAACACGACTCTCGATAGCTCATGTTTTCTTTGTACTTGCAGCCTTTTAGGTTTCTTCCGTACTTTAATGAGACCGTTCTGGATGAAGTTAAGGAAGTTTTCCGAACAGATAAGAGGTGAATTAATTTTATGACGATAATACAGGCGCGAGTAATGAAGAGTTTTGGATACTTCCTGAGTTGCTAAAAATTTTATTGAATTTTTGATATCTCAAGCTGGACATTTCTGTCAAATGGACAGCGCTAAAAATACCTCGGACCCTTGGTCTTGATCCAAAATAAGGGAGGAGGGGGAACCCTAAAATTTCTTCCCATAAAATCAGCAGGTGTACTTGTTGTTTGACTGTGGTTTGATTTCCGTTACTAATATTCCAGTAATTTGATCTTTAGGTTGGCAGATGTGTACTGTCCAATTCTAATCTTGCACGACCGGGAAGATGAAATAATATCATTTGACCTGGGAAAAAAGGTAATTCGTAGATAAGGAGCTTTCTATCCAGGAATCCAGGGGTTTTGTTGTCGCTTCTTACAATGGTAGCCAAAAGTCTTTAGGACAGTGATGCAATGGCCGTAATTATCTCTAATTAGAGTTTAACTTTGGAAAATCAATGCTATCTTTTTTGAAAAGTTAGTGATGCCCGTATACAATACATAGTATTAAAACTTATTAATAATGCTGGGTACAAGTGTGAGGAGAAAAGAGAGGGACTGGGTATAGCCAGCCTCAATCACCAGCGCTTGTTTTTTAAGTAATGTTTANGCACTCCCCTCAGACTGAAATCAAATGCCGCCCCCAGGTTTTTTAGTTTGACAGTGTTTTACCGGGGTTTAAAACACGATCACGTGACGGATTTTAGCGGACTTGATAGGTTGTTGAGCTCATGAATTATTAATGATTTTTTGAAGGCGAAACAAATTTTGGAAAAGGACATCAGGCCCGGGTTGCTCGAAGCATGGTTAGTGCTAACCAGCGTTAAATACCATGGAAACCTATACAATTTGATACCTCTTAACCAACGGTTAGCGCTAACCAGGCTTCGAGCAACCGGCCCCAGGTTCTTTGTTGATGCTGCCAAGGAGTATCTTTGCTGTCTTTAGGAGTAGTTCCTCCGAACAAGCCAAGGAACTCTTATAAAATATTGAGAAACCACTCGCTAAAAGAAGTTTTTTTTTTTAATTTCAGTTGTACGAAACTGCCAAGAAAACAAGACCAGCCGACGCTGGACCCATTAAATTTATTGAATTTAACGAAAATCTTGGGCACAAGTGGATTTATCTATCTGAGAGAGTTCCAGAAATTTTAAGGTAGGTTTGAATTGAGTTTTAGCTCCAACTGTGATTTATTGTAGCGTCCGCGCATCGGTATGCAATCACGAAGAAGTCTGCAAAAAATGTAGTGTTTCAACGGATTTAAACTCGGTACACGAGCGCGACCAGTGGGTGCTTTATTGATAGAGTTATGAAGTTCACAGCGGTCAAACGAGTGAAATTTGCAAAAGTTAAGCGAAATACTTCAAAGTTAAGGTTGCTACTTTCACTATCGAAAGTTTAGGGTATTACCAACATCCTGTTAGTTTACTTAACGTTTAAAAAGTTTACTAAAAAAGTTCTAAGTGATTGAAAACCGATGCTGACGTTATTATCGGCGCCATTTTCAAACATGATTCTCTTTTAGCACGAAGCGTTTTCAGCGAAAAAAGCTCAAAATTTTGAGAAAAATGGAAAGATAGTTATGTTGACTAACTGATTTATACATCTTTGCCCATTTTTCTCTAACTGGTAAATGAAATCCCAGCAATAAAAAACAAAAATAACGATTTAGACGTTTGACCGCGGTGGTGCTATGAAGTTACAGACGTTGGGAATATGTCATTCATGGGCGTATTTGTTTCAATAAAAGGTTTGAATGAAAGTGATGAATTTGAAATAAATCACGTATGAACGGTTTGTGCGAAATTTTGATTAAGAAGCGGTCATCGCAGTTGTGTGCGCATTTGAAGAAACAGGATTGTCATTTATATTGGTATTGCGATAGGGTTGGCATCATATCGGAATTTAGCCTTATTCTGAGAGACGTCCGAGGTCGATTTTTAGTGCGGCCGGTTCGCTTCGCTCCCTCCCAAGCTAATCGGAATGAGAACAAATGTTGGAATAATCAGCTGATTAAGATCACACGAATTCGCAAGAATTGTTTGTTAATTCCACTGTGAAATATTTGTTTTTTATTCAGGGATTTTATCAAGTCAAAGTAATTCAAGCTGGTCTTACCTCTTGGCCACTAGGAATGAATTTCAGCCTGCAAGTAAAGGAGTTATCGTACTTTCATACATGAAAAATGAACACCTCAAAGAATCTTCACCGACGAATGCATCGCGGTTATCCTAAACCGCGAGAGCGAGGTGAATTCGCGCCCTTTCGAACTTCATCGCGATTGTCTCAACTCACTCAATAGGTCAAATATGACACAATATGCAAGTTCAGGAAGAGGATGTACCTGAGTCTCGGAATTCCAGTCATTAAACAAATTCTTTCAGTCATTAATTATTCTTCATTTATGTCTTTGTCTGTATGTTAAACTACATGTAACCCTAACCCAGCTACGTTGAATACTTACGTATTCAATGCAGAGAAGTAGTGACGTTTTTCGGTATTTCTTTTTCTGTTTTCCCTCTTTATTTTCTTTGGGGTGGGGTGGGGGGAGGATGGGAAGGGCTGGGGGCGGAATCCAGTTGCGAATTCAAGCCAAATGATCGAGAATCCGGTCAATCGAACAAACGAAGAATCCAGAGTTTTTCTTTTTTCTATGCCAACTATAGTATGGTGGCACTGCTAGGTGAACCCCTGCCAACCAAATTTTTCGTAAATTTCCTACAAATTTACGAAACGAGAGCCAGTCAGAATGCCTGTGACGGTATTCAGGTCACGTGGTTCGAGTATCGAAGTGCGTGACTGGTAAGAGCTAGTGAAACGCCCAACACATGCCATAGGGACTACAGGGACTAGAAAAGAGAATTTAAACGCGGGAAAAGCAAACAGCGCGTATATATTTACTTTCTAAGCACTTGGGACTTTAAGATCCAACGACGCGGACGGTAACGAGAACGTCAAAAAAACAATAGGTTTGATTAGCAAAACAACAACTTTGCACATGCATCATGCTTTTTTGTACATTTCTCTGCCCGTTTTTGCACGACTACGACGTGAACATGCCTAATTTCGCGTTTTATGGAGGACGTAAACAAGCAACGAACAAACTTTATTTCTCTTACTGTATTTGGATATGGTGCCCAGGAATTCAACTCCAGGAGGGTTCGTCTACATTTGACAAAGTAAGTGGGTGGGAATAATTGCGATATAGACTGAAAGAACGCAAATTCACTTTTTAAGCGACGTTCCGGCATTGCCGTCGCGTCGTTGGATCTTAAAGTCCCCACTGTTTTCAAGACACCGTGGAAGTACTTACAGTTTAATGATTTACTGATTCTAGTTGTTTTGTCCCGTATTGTGATGTTAAAGTTATGTAACATCACGCGCACCACACAGGAGATATACAACGTGGAAAGGAAGAGCAATATTACCGTTGTCGTCCTTGGAGACAGAGTCACTATAAAATGTACTACTCGATCGTCATTTGTAAATATGATCCACTTTATTCAGCGTAACATACATAACGCATCTACATATAACTTGACCTCAGACTGAACCTTCAGATTTTTAGGTTATCGTTCTTAGCGTGTTCTACCCTGCGAACAGGCCGGCGGCGTGCGTTCGGCCCGGAGAAACCACTGCTCGCAGGATAAGCATGTTCTTACATCGTTATTCGAGCATTCTCCATTTTCGTGTCTCCCAGTTTGAATTTGTTCTTGGCAAAGCAGTTCCTAAAATGGACATGAGACAAGTGAATCCTCCGCTAGCCTTCTTGTATTCCATTCTCTACATATCCGTCATGACTGTTATTATTGTCACTCTATTCATCGCCACCCTGAATTCTTCTTTAAAGGCAATAAAAGATAATCAGGAATCTGTATCTGACAAGCTCGTCCTGGCCGATTTCATAGTTGGCTATTTCACCCATGGCTTTGTCAATATTTTTCGCCGAAAACAACATCAGCATCCTCCGCTTTACTGTGAAAACATAACGGTTAAAGACGACTGTGCTTACGTGGAGAACAGCCTTGATGAGATCAACGCTCGAATTTCAACTTTGGCAGACGACCCATATACTGAACACTACCTTCGTTTCTTGAACGTTTGGCTTAGAAACGCTTCAATCAAGGGAACACAAAAAAATCCAAAGATGAAAAATGCTCTCCGTAAAAAGGAAATGTGTTCACATAACACAATAAACGACGAAGAGGAAAAGTTTGTTTCCCTAGATAAAACATTCGTCGATGAGGAAGAAGGCAGAAGCGGAGCTTCAGAAGTACTTTTAAGCAAAGATAAAGCTTTGAAAGATCTCTTACACGAAACGGATTTACCGCAGTCTTTTTACAGTCTTCGAAATGAAATCTCGATAGAAGACATTTCTCTGTCTCCCGAGGCGACAGGGGAGGCAATTACCGAGGACGAACAAAATTTATCAGCAACCTCCTCTCAAGTAAATATTACGCGAGAAAAAGTTCTTCAAATGGTTAACACCATAGAATCTTGGCGGGATAGTAATGCATTTCTTTGGTGAATGTGATTGACGATACTGTTATCTTAGTTGTCCATTCTTTCAAATATCAACAGCCTTGAACCCTTGATGTCACGTGAACATTACATTACAAAATAGAGAAAACTCAAAGACATCTCTCCAGTGACGCCGAATACAACTTGAGAATCCACCAGAATAATTCACGATTTTCTGTATGAAAGCCATTATTCTAGATTTTTTATTATTTTTAAAATATATTTTTTGTTGACATACAGTGCATTAGTTTTAATACCAATCAATTGATTTTCCTTTTAAAAAGTAGAGGATTTTGTCCAGGCATGTTACTATCATTTTGGGGAGAACTGTTAGTAACAGCACCAGAGAAAACTTATCACACGCCAGACTCCTATTCAACTGTTATTGAGTTTCTCTTGTTATTTATCAAAGTGTATTTGATAATACCTAGAGGCAAGACTCAATCAATAGGATGAATTTTAGATGAAAACGTTTCAAGCAGCTGGTTGTGTTATATCCCACCGAGCAAAATCAATAATGACCAATTTGACATCATAATTGATTGCAAAAAAGAAAACAGACTCGTATGTCTTTTACAAAAAATATCCTTCTGTTCTTCTGTTCCTTCGCTGCAAAGAAACAAAAAAATCGTGAAAAATCAAGAAAGGTAGATCAAAGCTAGGGTTAACATTTTCACAGATCAACGTTTTGAGACTTAACCAGTCTTTTGTTTTGAACTTAGGGCGAATAGTTCAAAGTATTTTGTTGAAAAACGGGTGACATACAGACCATGACGGTAGAGAAGAATCTCATTTGTATGTGTAAAATGAAAATATATTTAGGTTCAGTAATGGTTTACGTGAAGGTTGCTCCCGTTTTCTATTTATGGAGAACAAAATTGAAGTAATGAAAAAGTTCCTAGGAAGACGTCAAAACCACGGTGGCGTCGTTTTTAATCTCGAAATGTCCCACGCTGTTTTATCCTTTTCATAATTTTCATGGTGATTTTCGATCATAGATGATGGGGTAAAACATATTAAACTTTAAATTATTGAGTTGTGTCGCAAATGTCAACACCCTTTACGTGCAGTGTTTCACTGTCACTAGCCGGGTGATTTGTTGGTGCGCATGCCCCAGGAAGAAGCCTTGATATCAAGTAGTGTTAATTAGAAATTATTTTTAGGTGCTAAAAGTTCTATTTTATGTATTTTTATGCTTTCGTAAATTTGTTCCCAAACAAACTCCGTCGTTTATAGACGCCACATGGCCTCTATTCGTTGAAAAAGTGGGTCTCTTTTGTTTCTCTCTTGTGCTTTCCGGGTTCCCTCTCAGTCTGCAGAAGACTATCACATTATTTAAATGGACTCTAGCTGAGTCTGGATCTGAAAAACAAGAGGTCATTTCTGAAACGGTAGTGCTGCACGCAAAATTAAGTCAATGGCAATCAAAAAGCAATTGAAATGGACAAAAACCATTTTATGGTAATGAAACGTTAATTAAAAATTTGTTATATCAAGATGTCACCAAATAGTTTTCACAGTGAGGAGCCATTATAATAACCTTTTTCTCTTAAAAAATACCGTGTTTTCTTCGCCGTAATTATCTGGGAAAAAATTGTTAAACAAAGGTTTAGGTTAACTCGCGTACCTCTCCGTCTT